TGAATTGACCTGTTGTCTCCTAATTATCCCTCCTCGGATGCTGGTGTTAAGAGGAATAGAGGAAAACACAACTTGAGCTCCTGATCCCTTCAGCCATTGTCCTAAGGTCCTGAAATCTCTTTTAATTGAGTCTGACCCTCTCATACTTGTGTCGTCACTACCCATTTGAAAGTAGAGAATATCAGTAGAGAAGAGGTAATTTAGCAGTACCACAGGCTTCCCCCACAACATGCCAGACTCTTAAAATCCCATTTCACTTTGTGTTGTCCTCCTTTAAATGGGAGTAAATAGTTTGCTCAGCTATTAACTCCACTATTGCTATCTTTAGCTATTTATTTTAGTAGATACAGATCTATCTTATTGGATACATCATGTAGTTGCCACTAAGTGACACTTGGGTAAACACACTGAAGAAACCTAGTTTTTGTATTTGATTTCTAGTGACATACACTGTTCTATAGATGGTCACAGGGCTGTCTGTTCCAATCTGTAAGCAGCTGGCCTGTGGGAGTAGGAAGCAGATACAGACAAGCAGCATTCATGAATAAGAAATAGAAAAGCAGCACTCATCAATAAGAGTCCTGCAAACTGGTGCAGCAGGGTCCAGGAAATACAGTGAATTACAGATTCTTTTGTGGATTTCAGCTAAAAGATGCCCAAAAGCAATGGGAGTGGGGAGGGGAAGTAAGTCAAAAACTGCTATCAGAGATGTCTCTTCTCCCTGAATCAGTTTTCACTCTGGACGCCATTCAGAATGCTGAAAAATTATGAGGCTGGCTTTGCAGTTTGGGTGATAAAAGAAATAATACAATTTAACTATCTATATAGAATTGTGACTGACTTTAAAATAGGAGGGCTTGACTATTCTGGTTTAAGGTGGAAGTTCATAAATCATCTTGTGACTGAAAATCCTTTTGCAGGGTGCAAATATATTGAAAAATCTTCGAAAAAAATTTGAGCATCTTGTGTTGATGTATGAGGATCCTTCTATTCAGCAGAAAGCACTAGCTTCAATTCCCCTCCAGCAGCTGAAAAGGAAGGCTCAGGAAAAGCTAGTACAAGCTACAAGACTGGACAAAGGTAATTCTAGTAAATTATAATCTGTATGAAACTAGAAATATTCTTTCAAACATCCGAATGATGCATATATCTATCGTTCTGCTGCTCTGTGGTTTTGGTCATACATCTGCAGGTTCCAAATGCTGTGTGTAAATTAGAATTGCCTTCTTCCTAACTTTCAAATTTTTTTATTCTCTCTCCTCACTTCTGATACTTTTTAACTTCATTTTTGTCATCCATCCTTTGCTGCTTTCACACAGAAATTTTCAGCTGTTAATTTCTGAATTAGTAGAAAACAGTGCTAGGGAAACAAATGGGTTAAGCATGTACTGTTATATTCCTTGCACCTAGAGTGAAGCAGCTACAGCAAGAGGAGAGGGGCTTCTTGTTTGAGTAGTCACTGTTTTGAAATTGTCAGAGTGCCATTTTTCCCATATGTACTATAATTTCAAATACAGAATAAAATTTAAAAATGGTTCTCATTTTAAACTGATATTATTGATATTTTCAGTGAGACCTTCCCAAGACAGAACCTGAATCGGGTTGCTCTAGATCCAAGAGGATGGCTTGTCAAGTATAGGCATAAATACTTGTGGCATTAGTGGCTAAAATTTATTTTCTTTATAAATGCAAACTTGGTTTGAACGTCTTTGCAAGTTAAAAATTACATATTTCTCGTTTCAAGTAACAGTTTTAGATTTGTTTCAGTAATATAGTGAAATTTTACTGGTGTGAGAGAAATTAAAAAAAAAAAACCAAGAAAAATCCAACCAAACACCAAAGAAACAACCACGCTTCCAAGACCATATTTAAACCAAAAAAAGAATTTTTCCCGTGAATCTTTGATAGAAGACTGTTGGAAGCAATTCTGTTAACTTGATGGAAGTGCTGTTGATTTGCAAACCAAAAAGAAGCCTCTCTCATCGTTTTTATAAATGACTTTCTGATGTCTCATACAAACACACGTTAATATGTAATTGTGCCTTTGGCATTAGGGAACTTTTTGAGACTGGCTTTTCTTAGTAACTTTTCTCCTTTTAATAAAGCTGTACCGGCAAATGGGAAACCACATAAAGAAGAGTGATGCGTTCTCATTCAGTGACGTGGGACAATGCAGTGGCGGGGAAAGAGATGTAGAAGGAATAAAAACTATTTAAATTCCTTTACAGAGGAAAATAAGGACAAACATACTTCTTAGACTTTACTCTACTTCTGCTGTGCACTTTATTAAAAAGGGAAAGGAAGGAGGGTGTTGTTTCCAGGTGCTGCTTCCCAGGCCATCAGGCTGATCTATTCCAAACGTCTTTGAGACTGTAACACAGATACAGATAAGAGGAAGGGATGGAACTCCACTGTTTTGGAGTGTGACAGTCTGAAAGCATTTTTAAAGAGCTTTATAGAAACATTCCTTTGGGGGTGGACTGTGTGTGAAGTGGATGGGCAACTGGCCCTCTCAGCTTACTTGGTTTATCTGTGGCACTGTATCAAGGCTGTCACCTGTGGGAATAACAGCTTTAGTCCTAGGGGACACTTGGTTTTAGGATTTCCCTTACAATGCATAATAGGCTTTTTTGGTTCATAGATCACGGTCATTTGATCAGAAGCACAGACTTTTTTCCACTGTTTCACCTGAGTGCTTTCCATTGGAAAGATGAATTGTTCAGTCAAAACTAGCTGCATGTCAGGGCCAGCTGTTTTCTGTTCAAATTAACTGCATTTGGCATTCTTCTTGTGCAATGTTTTTGTGAAGGATTTATTTTACAAACCAAGAAAAGAATAGTCATGTGTTAGAAGTCATATTTTCATAGATGGGTTCTGGTTTGTATGTTATCCAGGAAAAGAGAATATGGCCTGTGCTCAAAATCTTCCATTCAGTTTTTAGCAGAAAGTTGATTATATAAACATATCCATTTTGTAAGCAATAACGCCATGTCTGAGTGTTTCACGTTTTAACATGTAAAAAGTAAAAATGGAAATTTAACTGCAATTAAAAGTCAGGTTTTCTTGCTTCAATGTATGATCTTTTTTTCGTGCACTCCACGGTCTTGCAATGTTTTCATGGCTTCTTGGCAATGTGTGTTTAATAGATAGGGCCCCTCCAGAGTCTTTTGTACCAAACACTGTCAGCTTCAGAGGAAGATAGGAATTGAGCTTAAATAAACAAAACATACAGTTTACCTAGTTTTTCTTCACCATCTGATAAAGGAGCTAGTGCACAAATTTGGTGTAACTTCCTTTAAACAGCATTTTTGTACATTATTTTTGTATCTTCATATTCATTAGTCAGACCTGTGTGCACTGTGACTACAAGCAAACTAGTACATGAAATAACGAAGTGTTACTATCTATGGTTGCAGTTGGGCCTAGGTGATGGAGTTATTAGGAGGGTTTATTTGTTTATGAGTCTAAGAAGGAAGAATATTTCTTTGGGCACTGGAACAGAACATACCATACATTTAAAGGCTTTAAGGAGTCAAAAGGGATGGATCTCTTTTGGAAGACTGGGTTTTAAAATTTGTTAAGGTTATCCAGGTGGCAGAATGTGTGTGAATAGATTCTAAAACCTGTTGTGAACACAGGAGAATGGGACAGAGGAGTCTGATGGTCTAATCTGGTAAAATTAATTTGTGCAAAAAAATAAGGACGTCCTGTGACTAGCATGGGTAAGCTGATAAAGGTGTTTATTTGCTGAATTATAAACAAACGCAAGTTGTTCACAGGGTAGATGTGTATGTTCAGCAATAACTAAGCTGTGTTTGCAGAAAGTGCTCATATAACACATCGTTGCTCAGACTGCTGCCAGTATCCGATTCTTTGGGATTAGGAAATCAACGCAATTGTTCTCCCTGGTTTAATAGCTAGGAATAGGGAAATAATTGTTTAGTTGGGAGAAGACCTTCAAGACCATAGAGGCCGACTGTAAACCTAGCACTTCCAAGTCCACCACAAAATTGTGTCCCTAAATGCCACATCTGCACATCTTTTAAATACGTCCTGGAATGGTGACTCCTCTCCCCTGGGCAGCCTGTTCCAATGCTTTGTTACACTTTTGGTGAAGAAATTTTTCCTCATGTCCAGTCTAAACGGCCCCTGATGCAACTTGAGGCCATTTCCTCTTGCCCTGTCACTTGTTACTTGGGAGAATGCACTGACCCCCACCTCACTACAGCCTCCTTTCAGGTAGCTGTAGAGAGGTATAAGGTCTCCCCTGAGCCTCTTTTTCTTCAGGTTAAATAACCCCAGTTCCTTCAGCTGCTCCTCCTAAGACTCGTTCTGTAGACTCTTCACCAGCTTTGTTGCCCTTCTTTGGACATGCTCCAGCACCTTGATGCCTTCCTTATAGTGAAAGACCCAAAAGTGAAAACAGTATTTAAGGTGCAGCCTCACCATGGCTGTGTACAGGGAGACAATCATTTCCCTAGTCATGATGGCCACACACTATTTCTGATACAAACCAGGATGCTGCTGGCTTTCTGTGCCACCTGGGCACACTGCTGGCTCATACTCAGCTGGCTGCTGACTGATAACCCTGGGTCCTTTTCTGCTGGGCACCTTTCCAGCCACACTTCCTCATGCTTGTAGCATTGCATGGGGTTGTTGTGACCCAAGTGCAGGACCCAGCACTTGGCCTTGTTGAACCTCATACCTCTGGCCTCAGCCCATTGATCCACCCTGTCCAGATCCTTCTGTAAAGCCTACAGCAGATCTACCCTCAAGCAGATCAGCACTCCCACCAAACTTGGTGTCATCTGCAAACTTACTGAGAGTGCCCTCGATCCCCTCATGAAGATCATTGGTAAAAGTATTAAAGAGTGCTGCTTCCCATACTGAGCCCTGGAGAACACCACTTGTGACTGGCCACCCAGTGCCTTCATTCTACACCAAGTACACTGAGGTCCTTGAGCAAAAACAATCCCACGAATGTGTTTGCCTTTTCCCAAGGGAGGAGCAATCCACACTGCCTTCCCCAGCCATTTTCCTGGGTGCACTATAGGGACCTTGTCTCCTCCCACGGTATGGAGAGGTTCTGTTTGGGCAGGACCTGAATGGTTAACAGATCCTCTAATGTTAACAAGCCAAGTGACTTCTGCTAAATTTACATCCCAGTGCTTCCATCCCCCCTTGTCCAATGCCCTCAACATAGTCTTTAACAGTCCATTATATCTTTCAGTCTTTCTGGAGGCTTGTGGCTAGTACAGGATGTGATAGACTCACTTGATACCGTCTTTCTTTGCCCAGGAGTTTATAATTCCGAAAATGTGTCCCATTGCCTGGTTCAATTCTTTCAGGAGTACCATGGCACCACAAAATTTGCCTTTCAAGGCCTAAGATGGTGTTCCGGGCAGTGGCGTGGTTTACAGGATATGTTTTGAGCCAACCAGTTGTGGCTTCCACCACAGTGGGTCCGTAGCGCTTGCCTGGGTGTGCCCGTGGCAGTGGCCCGGCGCAGTGGGTTGCCACAGCGGAAACCCGGCCACTGCCCTCTGTTCCAGGGAGACGTGGCTCGCCTGATTGCAGCACAGGCTTCACGTTCGTGAGTGACCTGTGCGATGGCCTGCATGGTTAGATCCACCCCTCCATCACTAGCCCACCTGTATGTTGCATCTGTCTTGATGTTTCATGGGCTCATCGGGCTACAGATAGCTCACCCTTACACACCCAGTCCAGGCTGAGCTGGGCAACTTCAATTTTGGCAGCCTTGTCTACCTGTTCATTGTTTCGGTGTTCTTCAGTGGCGCAGTTTTGGAGCACATGAGCATCTACGTGACATACTATTAGAGTTGTGTTTTCCACTTGGGCAGCAATGTCCTGCCACAATGCAGCAGCCCAGATAGGTTTACTTCTATGCTGCCAATTGGTCATCTTCCACTCCTGTAGCCACCCCCACAGGGCATTAGCCACCATCCAGGAGTCAGTGTAGAGGTATAGTACTGGCCACTTTGCTCGTTCAGCAATCTCTAAGGCCAGTGGGATTGCTTTCACTTTCACAAACTGACTCGACTCACCTTCTCCTTCAGTGGCCTCAACCACTTGTCTTGTGGGATTCCACACAGCAGCTTTCCACTTCCAATGGTTTCCTACCACATGACATGATCCATCACTAAACAAAGCATAATGCCGTTCACCTTCTGTTAACTCGTTATATGGCAGCGCCTCTTGGGCACGAGTCGCCGCCTCGGGCAGAGCTCCAAAATCTCTGCCTTCTGGCCAGTCCATGATCTCTTCCAGAATCCCTGGATGGTTGCGTTTTCCTAGTTGAGCTCATTGTGTGATCACCACTACCCATTTACTCCATGTAGCACTGGTTGCATGATGTGTAGAGGGAATGTTTCCTCTGAACATCCAATGGAGCACAGGTAGTTGTGGTGCCAAGAGGAGACATGCTTCTGTACCAACAACCTCTGAAGCAGCTCGAATCCCCTCATATGCTGCTAGTATCTCTTTTTCAGTTTAACTCCATTCACCACCACTCTTTGCACCCAGCCATGTCATATGAGGAGATCAGGTTAGTCAAGCAGGACTTGCCTTTCATAAGCCCAGGCTGAATGGGCCTGATGGTCCTGTATGTGCCACATGATGGCACTCAGCATGATCTGCTCCATGATTTTCCCTGGCATCAAGGTCAGACTGATAGGCCACTAGTTCCCCAGATCCTCCTTCTGGTCCTTCTCTAGATGGGCGTCATATTTGCTAACCTCCAGTCCACTGTGACCTCCTCGGTTAGCCCGGACTGCTGATAAATGATGGCAGGTAGCTTGGTGTCAGCACTTCTGCCAGCTCCCTCACTACCTGTGGGTGTATCTTTTCTAGCCCCATAGACTTGTATAAGTGGTGCAGTAGGTCACTGACCACTTCCCCTTGCATTATGGGGGCTTCATTTGCTCCCTGTCTTCAGGGACCTGGGCACTGGGAAAACAACTTGTTTTTTAAAGACTGAGGCGAAAGCAGATTCAGTAGCTTAGCATTTTCCTCATCCTTGATCCCTCTGTTTCCCCTGCATCCAGTAAAGGATGAACATTTAGTCCTCCTTTCACTGCTAATTGATTTATAGAAATATTTTTATTTTCTTTTATGACAGTAGCCAGATTAAGTTCTCATTGGGCTTTGGCCCTTCTAATACTCTCCCTGCATAGCCTCATGACATCCTTGCTGTCCTCCTGAGTGGCCTGCCTTGCTTCTTCTAAAGTCATAAACTATTTCAAAAACTTTTTTTTTTTTTTTTTTTTTTTTCCCCTCCTGTGTTCCAGCCAAAGCTCTCTGTTTAGCAAGGCCAGTCTTCTCCTGCCAGGTCATCTTCTGACACACAGGGCCAGCTGGCTCCTGTGCCTTTACAATTTCCTCGTGGAAGAATCTCCAGCCTTCCTGGACTCCTTTGCCTTCAGGACTGTCTCCCAAGGGATTGTGTCAACCAGTCTCCTAAACAGGCCCAAGTCTGCCCTCTGGAAGTCTAAGACAGCAGTTCTGCTCACCCTCCTCCTTCTCTGAGAATTGAAAGCTCTTATCATTCTGTGATCACAATGCCCAAGACAGTCTCCAGCCACCGCATCACCCACAAGTTCTCTGTTTGCAGCCAACAGGCCCAGCAGGGAGCCTTCCCTACTTGGGTCCCTTACCAGCTGTGTCAGGAATTTCTTCCACACATTCCAGGAACCTCCTAGACTGTTTCATCTCTGCTGGAATTGGGAGCAGTAAAAGAATTGACTCTGTCTTCCAAGCCCCTGGCAGAATGAGTGGCATGAGGAAGTTTCACCAGACTTCACTTTGTATTTAGCTTGTTTTTCTGAACAGTTCCTTATTCTCACTTCAGCTGTAGTATTTAGGAGTGCAGTTTTTTGTTCTTTACATATACGGTTTGACATTATTCAGTCTTGAGAAGTCAAATTTTCTTTTGTGTGTGTGCTGAAGTAAAATGAAACTTTTTATAACGATATTTCTAAAGTATAATAAAGACCCAGGGGTGGTAATTTATGTAAATACTGGAAAGTCCAACTAAATTATTTTTCCATTTGACCTAACTGCTGTTGTGTAAATTTTACAGGTTCATATGTGAATGAAGAGGACTTCTTATTGTTGGAGCTCTTGGACTGGTTTAAGAATGACTTTTTTCATTGGGTAAATAATCTTCCTTGCAGCAGGTGTGGTGGGCAGACAGAGCCTAAAAGTGACTACCTGTTGCCTACTGATGATGATCAAAAGTGGGGTGCCAGTCGAGTGGAAAATCATTACTGCAACCGTTGTCAGCTCTGTAATAGATTTCCAAGGTGAGCATAAAAAGATGTGCTTCGACTTTTTTCTTGTCTTTCAAGAGGCAGCTTTGTACTTGTGTGTTTAAGGAATGAGTGATAAGCTGTTGGTTGAAAGATTAGAGGAGCTGTTTTAAGTAATATGATAGGATGGCTGATGAACCAGCAACTGATCTACAGGATTAGAGTTTTTTTAAAAACAGTATATAGCTTTCTTTTTCATGGCCTTGTTCTGAATACTTGTCTAAACTTTTTTTTTGTGCTAATTTGATAAAGTACAACTTCTGGTAAAATATGTTAATATTGGCATAGTATGTAGGTAGATTCTTGTTATTTCAGGGAAAACTTGCACTTCTGTGGGAAATCACAAAGGGTAACGCATATCTTTTGCAGAGTCTATAGCAAAAGAGCAAATATCCAGTTTTTGCTAAGTATCAGAAGGACCAATGTCCAAAAATCATTTTAAGATAAAGTCTTAAGTCAGTCTTGAAAACTAAAAAAACCCCACCAGATTTATTTAAGTGCTGCTATAAACATGTGATGGAGTCATGTGAGTCAATGTGAAGGTAGTCTTCTGCTCACACTTGTTTTGTGCAGTACAGCAATCATTTCAGCTATCTTCTGTGGACTGAATGTCACTGTAATCTACTCAGGTCTTCACAAAGACAGTCATGATGTAAAGAGTTTGAAAGGTGAAATATAATTTCAGTTATTCAGCGTGTGGTTTTTTTCTTTTCCTATAGGTATAACAACCCTGAAAAACTTCTGGAAACCAGACGTGGGCGCTGTGGCGAGTGGGCTAACTGTTTCACACTGTGTTGCAGAGCTGTAGGGTTTGAAGCCAGATACGTCTGGGACTGTACAGGTATTACTGTTCTAGAATGTTGTAATGTTAACACAAACCTGTGCAAAATAAGGTTATATATTTCATGGTTTTCAGATTATATTAGCCATCAAGCAGCATATAGAGTTACACAGTTCAGCTAACAAAGACAATATAAATTAATTTCCTGTCTTGCTTGATGAGATGAAATATAGTTCTGTAAGTAAGGGTAGATGATTGACTTCAGAGTGATACCTAAGGCACTGTGATATTAAGATAGAAAGGGAAAGCATTGATAACTTCTCCAAATGTAGATAAACAGAAAACATACTCTTTCACCTGTTCCTTCATTTAATATATCAGGAAAAGTCATAATATTCTACAATGTTAGAAGAGAGGATCTGTCCTTATAATTTGTTGTTTATTCTTGACCTATGTTATATAGATCATTTGTGGACTGAAGTATATTCTTCGTCTCAGGAAAGATGGCTTCACTGTGATCCCTGTGAAAATGTCTGTGATAAACCTCTTCTCTATGAAACTGGGTGGGGAAAGAAGCTCTCCTACATACTGGCATTCTCCAAAGATGAGGTAGGAATAATGCTGTTAATAATAACCGTACTTGCAGCTGTGTGACGAATTCATCTTAGTGCAATTTCCAGAATTATTCTAGAAGAGCATACTTTACTTAGCTAGCCACTTTAAATGAAGCAAGATACAGAGGAATTTTTGGTTGCTTTATTTTCTTCTTCAACTTGTACCCGAGGTTGTGGATGTCACCTGGAGGTACAGCTGTAAACATGAAGAAGTGCTGGCTAGAAGGACAGCGCTCAGTGAAGCCACGCTGCGGGAGACGATTAACGCGCTGAACAGGGCGGTACGTGGCTTTGTAGCTTTTCTCCAGGGGGTTCCTTTGGGGGAAGACTAAGTGTCCTTTCAGAATGTGAAGTCATTGAACAAAGGAATGCATCTGGTCATCGGATAAGAGTGTCCCTGCACTGTGCAATATAAGTGCTGCTAACTGTACAGGCCTCGTTTTACGCTGAATATGTAGGTATGGGTCACAGTGCTAAACTCATATGAAATAAGATAAAGAATGGTATGCCAGAGGATTATCGTATTATCTGTTATGTAGTCAAATATTTGTGTGTAAGTATATATATAAAATATATACCATGTGCATGGTTTTTTTTCCTGATGGCTTTAGAGGAGACTTGTGCATCCACAGATGTTGGGGGTAAACTACAACTTTTTTTGTAGCTGTGGACTCTGTGAGGGCAGCTGAGCATTTTTCCCATCCACAATGCTAGAACTTGAAAACTATAGTATCTATAGTTGTAAGAAATGTAGGCCTAATTTGGTTTTCATGACTCTTTACAAACTCTAGGAAGCAGGAGGAGTGGTTCACAGACTTTCCAAGACTTCTGAGAAGTGTTGATACCATCAGCAGAGCTTTGGCTCAGAGCTGCATTTACTGGTCACACCTAATGTCCCCAAAACGCTTGTATCCATTTGCACCTGCATGTCATAGTCACAGAACCTGAGTGCACTAGGCACCTCTGCTAAGCTTTTTCCACTCCCTACTTGGGACAGAGTGAACTTCACTCACTATACAAGAATACCACAAATCCTCAAACCACCTGTGAGGTTCCATTTTGTCCCCACTTCCTTCCAGGGCTAATTCCTGTGCATAGGAACTTCAGTTCCAGTGGTAGGATACAGCTGATGTCTTAATAAACATATGCCTTTCTGTCTGCTGGCTTGAAGGTTACATCCACACAGTAGGACTGTGACGAACTGAACTCATGTTTGAGGCCAGTGCTTGAAGTCATTTTTATCAGTAATGAAAAGATAATCAGATAGCAGAGTGGAGCACTGAGAAGGCTGGCCAGAGTGAAACAAAAGGAGGTGAAGGAGCAGAAATTCAAGGTGAAGAATGCATGCTCATTGTGCAGGGTTGCAGGAGTATAATGTCATCCTCTCCAAGCATTGAGGCATTGCTGGCTACAGAACTGATCTGAGGGCCCTTTCGTCTTATCTACTGGCAATAGAAACCCGTCACCAGACTCTTCTCTAACAGAGAGAACATTGGAAATGAGGTACTAGTAAGTTGAAAAATTACTCTGACAGTATCGGTGGAATCAGGGAAGTATATACAGCTGGTTTATGGGCTGGCTTGCCTGACCTCCATTTCACCTTAATGATGTCACTGTAGGATCATGCTCTTTTACACTTGGAGAAGTTGAGAGAACTCCAGTGAAACAAGTGGATTGTCATCTCCAACAGGTGGTACTGCACTCTGGTCTGTTGGCCTGTTTCTTACTCATTTCCACCTGCTTCATAGGACTGTGCAGCTCCTGAGCGAATAGCAGCACTTTTCAAGCAGAAAGAGCAGGCATTCTGGTAATGTTTGAAATGAAAACTTCATCAGAAACCGAGTACAGGGAAGAAGGCTAGACATGTGCTTCCTGTATTTCTCCTGTCTTCCTTTCTCTACACATAGAATATCCCAGCACTTTTTTCTCTGTGCTGCACACTTTCCCTGCTGCTTTCCAGTATTATTAAAGCTGTCTTGTGATTTTAGTTGGAACACCTTTGTCAATCTTTTTAATGATGTCTTATTTCTCAGGAACAACTTAACTCTCCTTTTCTACAAGCTGACTTCCCTCCTCCCACACACACTTCCTTTTGCTCAGTAGCTGTTCAGAATGTTTGATAAATTTATTAAATAGATAATAAATTTAATCCCTGTAAGTAACTGCTCTTACTAATTTTTAATTTTGTCTGTTATTGTTGGAGTTAGATTTCAGGGGGTTAGGGGCAGTTTGCCATTAGATTGCTGAAAGAACAGGGTTTTTTCCCT